GCATGATACCTTGCTGCGCGGCCTCAAATGGAAAAGTTGCCTTTGCTACCTGGACGACATTATTATCTTTTCGTCAACGTTTCCTGAGCACCTAGAACGACTGGATCAAGTTCTGACATGCCTTGCCGGCGCCGGGCTTCAAATAAACACTAAGAAATGCTCTTTCGCTAGCAAATATATCAAGGTCTTAGGACATGTCGTTAGCAATGATGGCATCCGGCCCGACCCTGACAAGATTTCTGCAGTCCTTCACTTTCCGCGTCCCGAAAAACCAAAGGAGCTTCGCAGTTTCCTTGGCCTCGCCTCCTATTTTCGCCGGTTTATCCAGAACTTCGCTTCTATTGCTGCTCCATTACACCAACTACTCGCTTCGAACGTCCCCATTCTGTGGTCTCAAGAATGTCAAACGGGATTCGAACTGTTGAAGCGGGCACTCACGTCTGAACCTCTGCTCTGCCACTTTGACGAATCCGCAGCGACTATCCTTCACACCGACGCTAGCGGCCTTGGTATAGGAGCCGTTCTTCTACAACGCGACAAGTCTTCCCTAGTGAAAGTTGTTGCATATGCCAGTCGCGTACTCACCCCTGCTGAAAAGAACTACACTATAACTGAGCAAGAGTGTTTGGCTGTGGTTTGGTCGGTCCAGAAGCTCCGTCCCTATCTCCACGGCCGTCACCTCACAATCGTTGTGGACCACCATGCCTTATGCTGGCTTTCTACACTGAAGAACTTGTCCGGACGCTTGGGTCGGTGGATACTACGCTTGCAGGAGTACGACTTTGACATAACTTACAAGTCAGGCAGAAAACATCAAGACGCCGATGCTTTACCTCGTTGCCCGCTTCCAACTACCCATATGAGCATTGGTGAGAACTCAACCGCCACATCCACCAAAGTTCATACGCTCGCGTCAATAACGCAACCCTTTTCGGACGATGAGCCAACGTTTATCTCCCGCCAGCAGCCGATTCATACTGCAGACTCATGATCGACCACCTTTCGGGAGTTTCTCATCCACCAAACAAGCGACTCCGTCGTCAACTCCTGCACTTTAAGCTGAATAATGGGGTTCTCTACCGCCACGTCTACCACCCTGACGGTCAGCGCTGGGTTCCTGTACTCCCACGTTCTCTTCGACTTCAGGTGCTCGAAGCCTTCCACGATGACTTGACTGCTGGTTATCTTGGTTTTAAAAAAAACTCTTGACCGCATTCGATGTCGTTATTACTGGCCTGGCCTTTCTTCTGGTGTAGCTCGGTACGTCGGTTCCTGCTACCCATGCCAGCGTCGTTAACTCCCCACGTCTGCACCTGCTGGACCTCTAAAGCCACTTCCGTGCCCTTTAATGCCTTTCGAGGTTGTAGGTGTTGACCTTTACGGGCCTCTCCCCGTCATATCTGCTGGCAAACGATAGATAGTGACCGCCGTTGACCACCTGACACGCTACGCTGAGACTTTCTCTGTTATTACAGGCTCAGCTGAGGAAGTTGCAGACTTTATTCTTCACGCCAAAAGCATCATGGAGCTCCTCATGTACTGCTCAGTGATCGCGGCAAAGTGTTCTTGTCACAAATGGTAAACGAAGTACTGTGCGCTTCTGGAACTATTCACAAGACAGCTTCAAGCTACCACCCTCAGACAAATGGTCTCACAGAAAGATTTCACCGAACCCTTGCAGACATGATAGCCGTTTACGTCCAACCCGACCACAAAAACTGGGATACTCTTTTACCATTCCTGACATTCGCTTACAACACCGCCGTTCAGCGAACAACTTGCTACTCACCGTTTTACCTCATGTACGGACGCACCCCGACTACCTTTCTCAACGTCTCCTTCTTTAGCAGCCATGGGAATTCATGTCAGTCTTCTAGCGAAAGATACATTTCCCGCCTGGCCCAGTCTCGCCATGAGGCTCGCATCAATACTGAAGCGAGACAGCACGAGCGGAAGATCATCTATGACGAATCCCACCGCGTTGTGTCTTTCCAACCTGGTGACGAGGTGCTGCTTTTGACACCTATTCGCACTCCTGGTCTCTGTGAAAAATTCCAACCACGCTTCATCGGGCCATACATTGTTTCAGAACAGACTTCGCCGGTTAATTATCGTGTGACGCCACTCGTCGCTTCAACACACCGCCGCTACCGCTGCACAGAGATGGTCCACGTTTATCGCATGAAACCTTTCATGAGACGTTCCCCGTCACTTTGACTTACGGCGGCCAGGGTGTCTGCTTCCAAGGGGGGGGAATAAGTGTGGGCATTTGTTACTTACATCGTCCTCACCCCTGCATGATCACAATCACCATCATCCGCTTGTCTCTTTGTCCTCATTGCCACTCTGGGTCATTATCATCGTCATCGTCTGTGTACTAGCTCTGCCCGTTCGTTTTGCGAGCTCTTTCCTCAATTAAACGCTGTCGCAACCAAGACTTCATAATATTTATGATCTGTAAACCAACTGAACCTTATTATCGCACTGTCTCCATTAAGTAACTGTAAAGCTTACAGTGACCAAACTCGTAATGTATAATAACGCGAAGCTCGTTGCACTGTATGCGAGAAATGTTTATTGTATGCGTAGAAGGAACACCAAGAAGCGCAGGACGTTGTGTGATAATGTTGAGGTTGGCATGCTGAAATTGCGAGTACAGAAAGAGGTATCGACTTACATTTAGCTTTTCATTACACATTTGCGGTGTGGCAGCTTTGAATGCCAAGACGAGAAGACAACGCCAGAAGTGTGAAATACAATTGTATTAGTCAGTATAACTAATTAGATGGGTAAAATGAACGCAACAAATCTATTTTTAAGCATTAACGTGTGTGTCCCTAAAACACTAATGATCTCTTCTCCAGGGAGTGATCGAGATGCATGTTGATGACGAATAAGAACGAACGCTTGCTCCGACAAATCTGTCTGCACTATCACTTCGTTAAGCGTTTATGTCATATATTACTATAGCATGCCATATTGTTTTGCTCAAAGGTTTCTTGAACAATATATATATTAAAAAAGAGTATACTTAAGGGCTTGGTTTTCTGTGTTTGACACAATTTCATTAAATTCTTACAGAGATAATGCCAAGGAAAGTATAGGAGAAGTTATTAGGCCGCATTGTAATGTAAATGTCAAGAAATAGGAATAGGTGAGAACACTACTTGCCATGGGCAGGAACCGAAACTGCACGTGACTTTATTACCAGCTGGCAGATGACCAAAAGTCTCTTGCCTAAATGCACGCATACATACCTTATAAAGTGAAAAGGGGGATAGCCGCCGTCGTATCTCAGTTGGTAGTGCCTCGGACGAATTATTTCGAAGGTCACAGGTTCGGTTCCTGCCCACGACAAATTATCTTTTCGTCCACGTGTTATCTTTCAGAATTACATTAAATTTACTACTAATCACATCACCTATACTTTTCTTGGCTTCATTGTCGGTCAGTTCTCATTAAAAATTTGTCTAACAAAGAAAACGAGCCTTTAAGTATTCCCTTATTTCTTTCAATAACACGTGAGAGGGTGACGGGGAGGTGTGTCTTTAAATGCTCTGTGTGCTCAGGTTGGCTTCACTTTACGTGGATTTGAGGCAAAAAAAAGATAAATCACTTTGAAAAACTGTGATGCTTTATAAACTGCACAGTTGTTTTTTAGTATGTTTTATGCTGGATTGCAATGGTAGAGTCTCAGCAGCCGATAAACGTGGCTGGCCAGCACTCAACTCCAGTGTAGAGCAACGCCTCAATATCTGCGAATGGAACACAACACGTGCCGCTGTAACAAGGTGGAAGTGGAAGTTCTAATTTTCTAATGTATAGCCTGGCTCAGATTTGCAGTTATTCCATTTCGCTGCCCAATTAATCCCCACTCATACGATGAAGTTCGAGCTTCGCGGTCACTGTCCCATGAGTCGTTTGTGCAGGAACATCCTTCTGACTCACAGCTGCTTTTTCGAGTAGCCGTAGGAATGACGCAGAATTTCTCGACTCGGCCATATCATCCACCATTACTCTCAAAACAAGCGACCACCAGCCATGCTCCGAAATAGGCGAATTTGTTTAATGAACTACGTCGCGCCGAGTTCCTGTCCACTATGCCATTGCGATTGAACTATACCTTGTGTATGTCAGGTACCAAACATTTTAAGTGAGCGTTTGGCTGTATATACATAAAGCCAAAACACTACGATTTAGTGTGGTGAGTAAAACATTATTCTAACAAGCAGGTAAGGATCGTACTACGTGCATCCACCCTGTTCCTAAGTGGATGCCCGTTACGTCCATAATCACCGTCGGCCCACAGTAGGATAAAAACACTCTGCAAAAAAAAAACCCGTTTGTCGTCCGCTCAAATGAGATTAGGAAATCACGTACCTTCACGTCATAGCTCAATACAACGTGGCATATGTAGTGGCTTCAAATTCGGAGCCGTGCCTCACGAAATGCAGTCAATCTTCGGCACTTGGAGCGTCCACAGAATACCCGAAGTTCATTAAATAAAGGTCCTCAATAGGCACTTCAGCTACAAAAATTATATATATATATATATATATATATATATATATATATATATATATATATATATATATATATATATATATATATATATATATATATATATATATATATATATATATATATATATATATATATATATATATATATATATATATATATATATATATATATATATATATATCAGACCAAAAAGCATATTGTCTCTCTCCTGAGAGCGAACCTGCAGGACACATTCCGCAAACAAGCGACCGCGTAATGCATTGCTATGTGAGCGGCTAACACCTCTTCTGCTTCATTGAGTGCTTCTAGGAGAAACCTAGTTCGTCAAGCATACATGGCTCGTCTCCTAATTTCATAGAAGTAAAACACCGTCATAAAATTCATTTATTGAGTTTTATCGTCAGCATGGATGTTCGAGCTCGAATATTTCATCTATGTGAAAAACGATAGAGCTTTATTGTCGTAGTCCTCGAGAACGGAAAGGACACTTCATCATAACGTAAGTGCTGGTTTTCCCAAAGCTATTATATTGCAAAGCACATGTATCTCACTTTATAAAGCAGGTAGCATTTACACGGCGGTTCACACATCCGCGATGCATTGCAAGGCTGGAAATGTGAGAACAAGAATACGTAGAATTAACATGTATTTGTAAATCAGCCATTCGAGAGCTTTGGTAATAAAGCCCATTATTGTGACATTTGAAAGTAAGAATTTTCACGAACATAATTCTATAAGAGGTAAGTCGGTTCGCCCTACATATATTCTTTAGATGAGCAAACTTGAAAAAAGGATGCCGAGAAGCAAGAAGGGAAAGAGAAAGATCCAAAGAAAGGCAGGGACGTTAACCAGACACACATTCTGTTTGGTACCTTGCATTGGCTGGGGTAAAAAATAAAAGAAGAAATACTGAAGAAGAAAGAGAAGAACGATACTCATAGTAAACAGGAAGATTGAGCAAATAAAACACACAGAATGATCGTGCATGGTTGTTAACAGTTCTGCGACTTCTCTTCCTTCATTGTATCAACGTGTAATCGTTAAGGGCCTTGTTTCCCGGAAATTTCGGCGTCAGAGTCATTGGTTGTGAACGATAATTTGCGATGCAAAGAAATAAATAAAGGAAATGGTGAAGGTTGTACTAAGTCAAGCAAACGTTGAAATAGCAAAGTTGAACGATTCTGAAGTCAAATCTGCTTGCTTCTAGGTTAATGATAGGCTTTATCTTGGTAGTGCTTGCTTACTTGCTTCTAGTTTGCTTCTCAGCTCAGAGGGGTTTCAGTTACGCAGCAGTCACAGAAACAGCACGGATGTCCACACTTCGGAGACAAGAAACTCGTGTGAAAACAAGCGTGCACACTTTGACAATTAAAGGGCATGCCATCATTGAAGTAGGACTTTCAGCACTTTGGTTTCTTCACGCAACTATCTTTGCCTTTCTTATTCCGTTGTATTCTCTCATTGTACGCACCACTAAAGTACTTTCTATAGATTCTTTAGCGAAGCTGTCATAGGGATAGTACAATCAATGAACGAGCCATCGGTTAATTGATTATAATTACACGGGCAATCATTTATGCATAATAGAGTTTTACCTCTTAATTAATTGAATTAATTGATTAAAACTTTGGGTAACTGATTACGGCGACTACCCCCCTCCCTTACCCTGCCCGTTGGCCGGTGCGCTGGAGTGCAAGGACAGCAATGCGAGACGGTGAAATCGAGCACACTCAATCTTTGTTTTTTTTTCAGTACAGCGCATGTTAATACGCCAGTAGAACGAACCCAAAGCCGTCTGCTGCTCTACCTCATAAAGGCTGAAATGAACTCACCCCGGTCTCTGTCGTCCACCTCCAAGCCCTGCCCAAAGCTTCTAGTGCAAACAGGAGGTGGCCTTACTCCGACATAGCCGAAATGCACTTGCCCGCTTCTCTCCGTTCATGCTTACAGCATTAACGTCCGTTCGCTCCCTATATTCTCCCCTGCGCTGGTTAACCATCGCCAATGCACACGTGGTGCTTTCTTTTTATATTGCGTTATTATTACATTTTGATCTGTGTACAGCTCTTTTTGTGATGCTGCAATGGCACGCATTGGCACAAAAGCACTGTGTGGACAATGTTCACAGAAGATTCGAGAATAATCACGGCTGTTTGTGCTCGAAGCCCGTGACGGAAAATTTTAATATATCAGCTGTTTCGCGCAAACTTGAATAACGTTCCAAGAGTGATCCATTTATGAAAAACTGTCCATGACAAGAATTACAGTGTAGCAGACTCCATTCCCGAAGGCACCAGTCCACCTCTGTCTAACTTATCTTGAAAATCAAGTCATTCTTCAATTACACAAGCGATTTTTATGTTTCAGATATATAGACTGTCGGTAATTCATGTTCGTACAAGAATGTTGGCCCCCTTCGCTGAACCCCTTCCTTTGCCTCGGTGTTTTCAGCGCATTCGCATCATGTAATGAAGGCAGCAACGGAATGCGTCAACGCTCAACACAGACAATTGTGGAGTTTTGTAGATTTCAGACAAGTGACCGAATCGTCTCATTGCTTATTTTTTTTTGCGTTAAATCTTGGCTCCGCACTGTTTCATCTTGTTTCATCGCACAGACTCAGCTCTTCTTGCCTTTGAAAAGCTAGCTTATGTCTTCGCCTGATATCTCTATATAGGGCCACTGCTTGGTTTTTTATTTATTTTACTTTTAGGTAGAGCAAAGTGGATCAGTGATTACAGCGCTCAGCTGCTAAACCGAAGTTTCGAGGGGGGGGGGGGGTGTCAACAATACTTTATATGTGCTCATGCATGAGTTCGTGAGTGTGCGTGTATATATGCAAGAAAAATAAATGTGGCTCATGCAGAAGTGCCATGGTGCCCCGTGTGTGTACAATCTGAACGATGACACAACAACTTTTCTTGATTATAGCTATAGCCTATTTATTCTGCCAGTGTGTTTGAAGCAGTGACAGAGTACACGACAACCTTGACGTGCTCACAGAAATACGACGTAAATATTTTCTTGCTTACCCGTTTTTCACAAACAGGTCTCCAAATATGTTCCTGCACACTCCAGTTATTTCTGTAAGCAAGAAATGGATATATGGTTAACTTTGGTCGCAACAGATTTCTTGTTGCGCAGCCACACAAATGGTACAACCAGTTGATTTGGAGAAATCCAAATGTAGAAAATGTTGAAGTTGCGACCTCATATGTTACCGTTAAGGCAGCAGCTACTATATTTATCCAGAAAGGCAGGTGTCAAGGTGCGCAGATGAACAAGCAGTGCTCGGCACTCTATCACTCTTCTCATAGTTTCATATCGAGTTCCTCATTTACGTTAGGTTTCATTTGTTTCTTTTTGTTTTCGCAGTGGGTCAAGCTCATGGGCGTGCACAGGGTTTCTCTTCAAGAGGGAATAAGCTTCGTCGCTGCACCCCCTCTCTAGTATGTCAATCAAACAGGCTGATTTTGCGACCCCCTCCGCCCCATTTGGTCGCAGTGCCCCCATCCCTTTTAGATTATTGTGTGGGGCTTAGTTTGCACTTCCTCTCTTATATTAATCAAAGGAAGCAGACGCCTCCTCCCCTTGTGCACACACGTATGGTCAGTTATTATTAAGAAATTTAATTTATTTTATAGCAAATGCTACAGTATTAGTAACATGATACTGAAAGAATCAATATCAAGTGTCACTGATTGTTTAAAAAAGACCGTAGGTGCTGCTACAAATAAATGAACAGAGCTGACACCAACCCTCTTATGTTAAACAAGTGAGCAAATGAATGTCTACAAGCAAAATTTTATTCGCTACGCATCGGGCATACTCGAGATTTTATGCCACATTTTTAGGGCAGCTTACATCAGCATGTGTGTACCCTACTTTATCATGTTTGCTGTAATATGGGAACAAGTGGCGAAAAAAGAAACGACCTTTTGTTGAATAATTATATAGGGACAGTAAGAGCGATCCTGGGCTATTGTATTTAAAGAAAGGTATGCAATTTTCAGACCTATAGAACTATCATTCCAGTCGAAATGGTTTTTAAAGACTAATTTGTCTTTTTATACTCGATAGCTCTTGTGATGTCAATCTTGAAGAGGCGGAACTTCTTGGCTCCAGATCTTTCAGTGGCGACCACGTGTGCTATCACGGCTATTGTGAAAAAAAAAATTTGAGGCACGAGGGGCCTTTCTAGCCTTATCTTCAACAATATTATATGCATCATATCAAAGCAAAACATCGCAATAATAAATAAGTGGTACTATATAGTGAAACTCATCTCTTGAGAATTGTAGTTTGGTGTAAGTGACGGATCCAATGATAAATAATTTGTCAAAACTATATATAACTGATGGAATTCTTAGAGGCAGTTATTATATGTTCTGGCTGTAATATCAAACCTTTAAATTACGCCATAAATCAAAGAATCATACATGCGAAACAGTGACTTACTACAGCAAAAAAAATGGTTACAATAAATTTTTCTTTGTACCTCCAAACACGTTGCAGCTAATCATAGCATTCAGCGGCAAATGCCTCACGAGATCCTGCAATATTAAACTTTATTACTTTCTTTTGTTTTATCTTGTGCAATACTTGTTGCAGCGTTAATATTCCATGGCCTTGTGAAGGGAAGTTATATCCGCCTCGTCATGACTCTTTATAGAAAGCGTTGTTATATTATTGCGCTTCTCACAATTATACCAATCAGTGCAGAGTTACCGGAAAGTACAATAGAAATATCACTAACACGCCTATCTCAAAAGAAAGAGAGTAAAAGGATGCTTTAGTCGTAAGCCAGACAACGACGTGAAACTACCATTGGGGAAACAAATATGAAAGGAAATTCGGCTAGCACAGAGAGGATATACGGCAGTGTAGTTAGCGGGTAGAAGCAGCAATGATTCTACTTACACTCCCGTCATTGTGACCGAAAGCACTAGTATCCCCACAAATAACACAGGCGACATTGTTATGCTCGTCGTGGCAGAAGTTTCTCGCGTGTACCCGAAGACCTTTATATATGCTATTGCATACGCACAGGTGCTCACGTAATGATTACGAACGCCGCATGTGTGGCCGCTTGCCGGTGAAGCACGCTAGTGGAAGAAAAATACACTCATACTGTGGTAGCGTGCAGTTCCCCTGCAAAGCTTCAGTCACTCCCGCAGCGCATCTTGTTATCTTGCGCCGAAGTGTTTGAGTTAAGTGTACGTTAGCTTTTTGACAGCAGTCCTGGCTGGATAAGAACTTATTGATAAACGTTGCCTAGGCGCACGAGTGAGAGCTTAATTGCTCGTGTGCTTAAACATCTTTGACATTTCCTTAATTTGTAAGCATTTCTCCTTTTTTTTCGCTCTCTCAATCATTGGGCGCAACGGATGACGTGATTCGTCAGTATATTTATGGCGTGTATACGAACTAGCGATGAAACCACGCGGCATTTTGACTCGCACTAAAAGGCAGTTAACGCTGCCGTCTCCGCGAAAGGCAACGCTGTTATACAGTGGGTTACAGCCTAATAAAAACGTATGCTCCACCCACAGCGGTCACCGTCTCACCTACGCGAAATTCGCATGTATGTCTTAGCGAACTGCAGTCGGCTATTTACGCGACGTCAGAGTGTTTCACGTATTTCAATTATCTATGACTTGGCCGCACAGACAGGCGTTAATTTTGATAGTTTTCGGTCGTAACAAATTTTACTTGTTAACAAATCAATTAATTGATTGATATGTGGGTTTAACGTCCCAAAACCACCATATGATTATGAGAGACGCTGTAGTGGAGGGCTCCGGAAATTTCGACCACCTGGGGTTCTTTAACGTGCACTCAAATCTTAGTACACGGGCCTACAACATTTCCGCCTCCATCGGAAATGCAGCCGCCGCAGCCGGGATTCGATCCCGTGACCTGCGGGTCACTTCTTGACAAATCGTATTTTCAAAATTTTGATTTCACTGCTGGGTCAGACGTAACAATTTAGCAAGAAATGACGAGCGTTTAACTCATATTGTGCGTGGTAATTTCATTATCAGCGAGAGGGACTTATGGTTCAAGCGGAAGTCGCTAATCATTGCTCTGTTACGCAGATGAATGACAAGCGCGCCGCATTATTATGGGGGCGGCGCGCATAATCATTCTTAGCTTGTAACCAACTAGATATAGATGTACTTAGTATTGAAACTACCTGGCAATGCCACGCACGCACTGACCAGCGCACTTTTTATTCACCTACGCATTTACCTGGCAAGCGGCTGTCTGTCCGATGATCAGAAGTATTTCGTAAGCACATCTACGATAGAGGCAGCGGCTCAATAGCATGTACTTGAGCCGATTAATATTTCAAATCAGAACAGCGAGTGAATATAGGTTTCTCTTAGAAATACTCAGGCTGATATGCGCTGAAACACAAGATGTGATGCTTCGAAGGTGCTGATGTGTGTGCTCGCTAATGGCGGGAAATGTCATTTTAAATGCGAAGCATTTCTTAGCGAACTTCGGTGACTTTGAGCGTATCTATCTATCTATCTGTCTATCTATCTATCTATCTATCTATCTATCTATCTATCTATCTATCTATCTATCTATCTATTTATCGATCTATCTATCTATCTATCTCTCTACCTATCTATCTAGCCGCCTACGACTTTTAGCTCGCCTGGCTGTTTCAATAATGGTATGGGTACTAAAATTGTATGGCATAACATGACTGTATGACGAGCATAAGTGACTAGTCACAACATGAAATCATGACATGTATGTCACAAATACTGAGAGAACGGTATACTGTAATTAGCATGTGTTATTTTTGTTGTTTTTTTTTCGCCGGACTTCATGCATCCTCAGGTGATCATGGCCGCAAAAAATTCTTGGCGAAAACGACAATAGAGGCGGTGACCCCATTGAACGAGACTGCAAGCGCGTAGCGCGGACCGTTTCACCCAGTAAATGATCACAGCTTATCACCCTCGCGCTAACGCGGCAACAAACTCAGCTGCAACTTGAAGCAGACTACATCAGCGATTGCACTGTCACGGCCACTGCAGGGGCGCTGTCGCGGAGGGATATTATCCCTTAAGCGATATGCTATGCCTATCGTTCAGCACTCGCTGCGGGCGGATCATCGGTAACGTGGATGAACCGTCGCGGCGGCGCACCGGCCCCGAAAAGCACGAAAAGCATTGACATCAGAAAAGCCATTGTTCCGTGCACCTCTATGCCAGCGGCTAAGAACATCGTTCTAAATCTTCGATTGTGACAGTTACAGGCATCTTCATGTGTTACGTCAGCACGAAGCCTATTCCAGGAAAGTTTTCGGGCGCTAAAGGCAGGGAACTGAGGTTGGACAAAGCGCATGTTATTGCCGCATATATGGAAGTGACGGAAAACTATGCAAATGCAGCGCTACCGGAACCGGGAGTGACTCAAGGACGGGAGGAGGACGCTTAACGGCAAGGTAGTGACAGTACAACGATTATAAGGTCGACAAGCGACAATCGGTGACGTCGAATGGTGGAAGCAAGGAAGGCAACTGTTCACAGCTAGGATGGTGACCTGGGGAGAATGTCCCCACCATGTCGGTACATCAAGGCAAGGTGCTTATTTTTTTCTCGCTATAGGGACATTTAGTTATAGTGTGTAGTGCAAGGCGAAACGATTTCACTATGGTAAGTAAGTTATATACGCAGTATAAATTTGATGCCGGTCTCAGCAGCGTAGATGGGCATAGCACTGCCATGCAAATACTCAGGTCCGGCGGTATGTATCCTTCCTGCAGGTTAAGTTTTGGCACTTTTTGGACAAGTAACATATTATTCTGGTCGTATTTGCTTGAGGGCACACAATGGTGATAGTGTTCTATTGAAAGGCAGTAAATCACTGCAACAGTGCGTAATTAAAGAGATCTCGTTTAGACTTTTTTGTTTTGTGTTTTTTACATTTTTGTTTAGAGATTTTGTTTAGAAATTTATTTTTTACTGTGCATAATCATCGAACAGAAAAGGATGCTGGGCAAGCACACAGGCATGCTGAAAAATTAGGAGTTCATGGGTTTTATTATTTGGGATCACAGAGCGTAACCGATGTTCATTAACTGAAAGCCAGTGCTGCTCATCCCAAAAGATTACGCTGAAAGATATTTGGGCATGAAAGCGTCGAGTGTATTGTGCCCTGTGCACGTAAGTACATTGGTAACCTCATCGTATAAGTATGAAGGGTCTTGGAGAAGTGTCATTAAAGACCCATTACAGTGGCCCAGTGCTAATGTCAAAGCACGTGTTCTCGTCGTTGGCATGTACAATTTTGCAGTCCGCTTGATTTAATAAAGGCACACCACGGTGATCATTATGAACTGGTACACACAATGCTGTGCGAAGTTGTCTTGAACAAAATGCGGTGCGTTTCGTAGCGGACACTGTGGGAAATAAAAAGGAAAGGACTCTGCTGTCACGCTAAATGACGGCATGTAAATGTCTGGTTATTGCAGATAGAAAACGGCCGCTGATTCCGTAGTACGACCGACTTTGGCCGTGATAGGATATCGGCGGCCTCGACCCGATGAATGCAAGAAATAAAAATTAATATCCCAACAGAAATCGAACAAAAATATTCACAGCATATCAACAGAGTGACTAATGATGAGTGGAGCGAAGCTTTGAGGGCTCTCAGCTCGGCATCCCGCCTGTATTTGTGCGTGTTTCACCGCCGCCTCTCGTGCACGCGTCTCCAACGTAACCGTCCATCCGTCTGTCTGTACGTCTGTCTGGCATAACCCGGCTATGAGTCCGTTAGTCTGGCATAATCACGCGATTATGCCATACTTTGCCGCTTTTTACAGCAACAGTGCGGTACTCTGATTACGTCAGATCCAACCAAGATGGATAGTTTGCTGAAGAAGAAAAAAAAACAAGGCGAGCGTGCTTATCAGTAATCAGGGTGACGGGGCTTGAAGCTGGAGGAGGCATCAAGCTTTGAATCAAGAGATACGAAGGGCGCTTCTGATTGCGTGCCGAAGTGGTTGCTACTGTCAAGATGCGTTATCGCTTACGGGCACGGGTACAGGGTTGGCGGAAGTCAGCTGGCGATTGTTAGTCGAATTGAAGCGTTTGGCCGCGAACTGGTCGTTTGAAAATTTTTTAAGTGAAACACTCAGAGGCCGGCTGCCGTGTACGTGCGTAGACAGGGTATTCGGTGAAATCTTTCGGCCGCTGAAGAAAAGGAACTATTAAGTGTTGTAAAGGACAGTGCATGTTTAATGGCCACATCAATGAATGCCAAGAAAGCTGCGTGATTATAATGCTGCCTAGACTGGCAGTGACTCAAGAACGTGAGGCGGGCGTCAAATGGCAAAAGGCGACCGTAAACCAAGCACGTGGTCGACCAGCAACTGTGGGCAACGTGGACGGCGGCCGCGAGGAAAGGGCCCACGGACATGAACGGGATACTAAAGAGCTTTCGTTGTGGGCGACGCCACCACCAGCAGGATGGTCAGCGCATCAAGGCAAGGTGCGGCTGTTTTCTCGGTTGGAGCATTTAGCTAGTGCAAATGTGTCTGGGCAAATGTGTCTGGCTTAGAATCGCACACGATTGATTTCAACGTAAATAGACAAACCATCGGCATGCAATTGTACGGTCTCAAAGGTGCCCATTATTCCTGAAGGCACATTAGTGAAATATTAAAGTACCTGCTATGGCCAGCTTGTGCGTTTTACATAATGACATGACACCGCTCAAATGTTTTGTTAAAGGCCACCGGCATTTCACTTTTTATGCACTTTTTTTAGGAAAACCTAGGAGCCTCAAATTGGAATCAATGGACATGAAGTGGGGTCACACATTTGTTAGCGCTGGATTACAAGTACCTAATATCGTACGGGACAGCGCTGTTATTGTGTATGAGAGCTTTTATAATCATCATTGTAAGAGCCCTGCAAGACTTGCGGCCTCTCCCAATGACTTCGGATATCCCCAGCGCTG